CTTACACTAAGAGTTAATCCCTCAAGAGGGACTCAAAATACATGAGCTTTGATGCTTAAACCATAGATGATAAAACTGGCATCATGAAAGCCAAATGCAGTCCTCATGAGGACAGGTGTGTGTGTACTCATGATTTTAAAATGTGCTAATTCCTTTTAACATTTTACAAGTTTAAAAGTATCATCTTCCTAATAAAATTCAGATTTCTTACTTTTCTTTTTTTTCTCACTCTGTCATCCAGGCTGGAGTGCGGTGGCATGCTCACAGTCACTGCAGCCTCAACCTGCTGAGCTCAGGTGATGCTTCCACCTCAGCCTTCCAGGTAGCTGGAACTACAGGCACACGCCACCATGCCTGGCTAATTTTTGATTTATTGTAGAGATGAGGTCTCGCCAAGTTGCCCAGGCGGGTCTCAAACCCACGAGCTCAAGGCAGTTCCCTCACCTCAGCCTCCCAAAGTGCTGGGATTATAGGCATGAGCCACTGCACTCGACTCTTATTTCTCTTAAAACATCAGGGCTAGGTGTGGCGACTCACACCTGTAATCCTAGCACTTTGGGAGGTGAGGGTGGGAAGATGGCTTGAGATTAGGAGTTTAAGACCAACCTGGGCAACAGCAAGACCCCATCGCTACAAAAAACAGAAACAAATCAGCTGGCCATGGCAGCACATATCTGGAGTCCCAGCTATCCTGGGGGCTGAGACAAGAGGCTTGCTTGAGTCCAGGAGTTTGAGGCTGCAGTGAGCTAGCTCTGTGTACCACTGCACTCTAGTGTGGGCGCTTAGAGCGAGACCCTATCGTCAAAAACTGATTTTTAAAAAAAATTACTGGCTCAGTAATTATCATTATTATTTTTATTTTTGGAGTTGGAGTCTCACTCTATCACCCAGGCTGGAGGGCAGTGGCACACTTATGGCCACTGCAGCCTTGACCTACCGGGCTCAGGTGATCCTTCTGCCTCAGCCTTTCCGGTAGCTGGAACTACAGGCATATATCACCATACCCGGCTAATTTTTTGATTTATTGTAGAAACGAGGTCTCACCAAGTTGCCCAGGATGGTCTCAAACTCGTAGGCTCAGGCAGTCCTCTCACTTCAGGCTCCCAAAGTGCTGGGATTATAGGCATGAGCCACCACGCACAGCTAGTAATTATTTTTTAAAAACCATCAGAAGAGCTAGCAGCACTGCACCTGTGATCCAGGGTGGCATTAATTGCTGGCACTGAGCAGAAGCTGCTTGCTTGGGGATTGGGGGGGGGCGGGTTTTGCAGGCTCTCATTCCCCGTCCCACCCTCTTCAATATCAGCAATGCCTTGGCCAAGTGTTAGCTGCCATCTGTGAGCTCACCAGCCCTGTTCGTCTAACCCCAGTCCAGCCTCACTCGCTTTACCATACCTGCCCATACTTATTTGAGTGCCTGAATTCAGCCTACAATGTATGATCGTTGCTGTGGTTGCTTAGAGATCTTTTTTTGGTATACTTTCTGCATCTTTCTTGTGGCCAAAGAGTTTGCGGGAAGCCTTGGACACAGAGCAGGACAAAGTGAGATGAGATGACTCATCAAAAAGCATTACTTCAGCCGGGCTCAGTGGCTCAGCCTGTAATCCCGTGCTTTGGGAGGCTAAGGTGAGTGGATTGCCTGAGCCTGCGGATCCGAGACCCGCCTGGGCAACTTGACGAGACCTCATCTCTACGATAAATCAAAAATTCAGCCGGGCATGGTAGCGCATGCCTGTAATTCCGGCTACTGGGAATGCTGAGCGGCCACTGCACTCCAGTCTGGGCGACTGAGTGAGACTCCAACTCAAAAAAAAAATAAGCATTACTTCAACTTAATAGCCAATTGTGATGCCGAGGGTAATGGAGATCTCTAAGGATTTGAGAGCAGGTCAGACTGGGGTCCAATCCTGTCCCTCTGCTGACCCAACATTTGCTTCTGCCTTTGTGAACCCAGCCAGGGAGCAGCAAAGCTCATGGGAGGTGAATGAGAACTAAGACGTTGTGAGGGAAAAGGCACCCCCCAGTACATGCTCAGAAGTCTCCCCCATAGCCCTGCCCTTTGCATGTTTGAGCTGAGCTGATGATGCATTGTGAGCCGTGATCTTTGGCTATCTACGCGTTTGTGGCTGTCAAGGTTGTCCTGGGGCAGAGAGAGAGGTGGGAGTTACACAGAGTGTCCACTTGACGACAGTTTTCAGTATGTGGCGCCAACTAGAGTGAACAGAGCCGAAATAATGTCCTGGTTGGAAGTTAATAGCTTAGCCTGCCCAATTATTTGCTGGAAGAAAATGCCTGCTCAGTTGCCACAGATACCAGGCAAAACAAACCTACTGCTCGGGCCAGCCACTCAGAAGACATCACTTTCTAATCTCTGTCTGTTCATCTAAACTGTTGTAAAGCCAGGAAAACTGTGTGAGTGGTTTGGGGGTTTTATTTGTTTGTTTATTTATTTAGAGACAGGGTCTTTCTCTGTCGCCCATGGTGGAGCGCAGTGGTGCAATCATGGCTCACTACAGCCTTGAATTCTTGGGTTCAACTGATACTCCCATTCCAGCCTCCCAAATAGCTGGGACTCCAGGCACACGCCACCACACCCAGATCATTTTTTAATATTTTTGATTGAGAGAGGGTCTTACTATGTTGCCTAGTCTGGTCTCCAACTCTTGGCCTCAAGCAATCCTCCTGCCTCAGCCTCCCCAAATCTTGGGATTAATAGGTACAAGCTGCTGCACCTGACCTTATTTATTTATTTTTGATGCTGTTGTTGTGAACTATGAATCATGTTGACACTCCCCTGTTTGCAATCTGCTTTAACTAAATCATAATGAAAGATTTCTTGAGTTTACTTTACATTGGCATCTACCCACACTCCCTATTGTAGGATCAGGGCTCAAGGCAGAGAGAAAGGGGGAGAAATGGACTGAACCTGCCATGAAAGCCCTTTGCCTCTCTTTCTGCCTCCAACTTGCCCCTTCCTGTTCTCCACAAGGGTTCCTGTAAGAATGAAGGAACATGAATGCATCAAAATAGGCGATTCTATTGTCCTCTTCATACAGCTACAATTCTAATATGTGTGCATGCGTCTATATCTCTAGTTTTTCTATTTCTGAAATAAAAGGGGAAGTCGCAATGAGGAAGACAGTGGAATGTAGTGTCTATGAATAAATCAACTCATGCAAAAACTTTAAGGCAAATGTTTTTCTTTTTTATTACTAAGAACAGGAATCAAAATGTCAGTTCATTCGCAGGGTCATAAGTGTTGGATATTTTTCAAAAGAGAAATAACAACACCGTGGAACATATACTAGGTGCCCGGATTCCTGCCAAGCCCTGAACAAGAGTTATCTCATTTAATCTTCTTAACACCGTGTGAATTAGGAACCACTGTTATTTGCCCATTCACAGCACTCCCAGCGGGAGACCCTGCCGCTGGGACCATTTGGGATTTAGCCAAGTAGAATGCCTTCGGCGTTCAAACTGGGAAGCTGTAGAATTAAGGCTCTGGTTTCTCTCTAGGGCGATGACTTTGGGGAGAATTTTTTACTAGCCTCAGTTTTCTCATCTGTAAAATAAAGTGGTTGTGTTAGATGATCTCAGAGATCCCTTTGGCAACTATCCACATCAATATCTGTCAGTCACATCCAGGCCACTTTTGCCATCCATTGGTACAGTGAACTATAGGAAGTTAAAGGGTGACATGGGCAGGAGGCAGGGAGATTGCTGCATTATGCACCAAGTGTTTTCCTAGCAGGAGCAGCTGTTCCCACTGCCACATGCCCAGGCAGGTAGGAGAGCTAGGTGACTGCAGGAGTGAGATGGGAACAGGGCCCACCCATAATGGCTGCCACAGTGGACCTTTCAGTGGGACCAGTTCCTAGTGTCTGTATCAACCCCCAGAGTGCTCCACATTTCCAGCAGGTGAGCTCTAAGAACCCCTGTGTAATGTGACCAGACCTGCTCTTCCCTTGAATTACACTGACAGACACTTCCAGGAATCTTGCGGCAGCCTGAAGTTTTTGTTCTCTCTTCAGAGCAAGGAAGTGAGAGAGGGGTTGGGTGGGAAGGGGAACTTTAATCCTTTGAATTATTTGAAATGATCTCAAATCTGAGATGTGAGGCTTTTAAAAAGACCCAGTGACTAGTCACTCCACCTATTGTAGATAATACTGTGTTGACAGTTCAAGTTATCTGAAGCTCTCTCTGTGAAATGGGAACCAACTTTTGCTTTTATTACTCTGGGAGTATTAACTATCACATTACTCTTGGGCATGCAGACTAGGTTGTGTTTATTTCCTTATAGCTTATCACCATGAAAAGACACTCAGGTTTCTTCTGCCCTCATCTCATGCCCCCAAGAATGTCATTCTTGATTCTGTTTGTGTGTGTGTGTGTGTGTGTGTGTGTGTGTGTGTGCTGTCAGATCACCAGAATCTGTCTAATCCAACGAACCTCACCATCAGTTATTTTTTTGCTACTAATAACCTTCTACTTAGACATGTTGCAAGCGCATTTTTCATTATCTGTGTCCATACGTGCCCAGATAGAGATAACACTGAAATGAAAAGAGGTGCCAGAGAAACAGGAAGAAAAATAAACCCAAGGAGCAGATATCCTAAGTGCTGTGGCTCCCAAGAACTGCTAGCAATTTGTGAGGCTATTCAGAAAAAAGAGCCACTTATTCTAGAAGGAATGAAGAAAGCGTGAGAAGAGAAGGGAGATCACATCGAAATAGATTGAATGGAGGTGGCGGAGCAAGAGAAAACTCGGCCCAGTGAAAGGGACCCGTCATTCCATTCCAGAACGTAATTTGCTAAGATCCACCACTTGCATTTCGTATGTAAATGAGGAGGCTTCCCGGAGGCTGGGTTGGGATGGGCTGGGCTGGGCTGGGCTGGGCTGGGCTGGGCTGGGCTGGGCTATGTGAGCTAGGCTGGGCTGGGCTGAGCCTCTGAAAACAGTCAGCCCAGGAGAACCGCAGACCAGAGCACGTTAGAAAATATCACATCTCCAGCCAGCCCCGGAGAAGATGGATAAGGCAGCGAAGCAGAGAATACAGGAGGATTAAAGGAGTCGGGGAAAGCAAGCCAGTCCTCTGGAGAAACTGTCGAAATTTGAGACTGGCAAGAGAAGTCAATTCAACCTCTCATACCTGTGGTTTCAGGATCACTCTGAATCCCTGAAGAGAAGAGATTCCTTCCTCAGGGAAGTGAAAAGAATGAACTTTTTCAGGTATTGCTTTTTTGCTTTCACTGTGCTCAGCGTGGTTGTGCTCGTGATACTCTACAATAGCCGGTTGAGCCCACCAAAAAGTTACGAGAAGCAGAACAGCTCCAGCGAAAGGTACTTGAGAATTGCTGCCTGTAATCACGTCTTAGAAGACAAGTCAATCTTTTTGTGGAAAGAGACATTGTCATCACTTCTGGGCAGTGTCTCTTGCCAGGACTACCTGGTCCAGAATCACTATATCACAAGTCCCCTGTCAGAAGAAGAGGTTTCATTCCCTTTGGCCTATGTCATGGTCATTCATAAGGAATTTTATACTTTTGAAAGACTCTTCAGGGCTATATATATGCCCCAAAATGTCTACTGTGTTCATGTGGACAAGAAAGCCCCAGCTGAATTTAAGGAATCTGTGTGGCAGTTACTGAGTTGCTTCCAAAATGCTTTTATTGCTTCAAAGGTAGAGTCTGTGGTTTACGCAGGAATTTCTAGACTCCAGGCTGACCTGAACTGTCTGAAAGATCTTGTCACCTCTGAGGTTCCCTGGAAGTATGTCATCAACACCTGTGGGCAAGATTTCCCCCTGAAAACCAACAGGGAAATAGTTCAGTATCTCAAAGGATTTAAAGGAAAGAATATTACCCCAGGGGTGCTGCCTCCTGGTCACGCAATTAAGCGGACTAAATATGTCTATCGAGAACATATAGGCAAAAGTGGCTCTTTTGTAAAAAATACTAATATTCTGAAAAGCCCACCTCCACATCAGCTGACCATCTACTTTGGCACTGCCTATGTGGCCCTTACCAGAGAGTTTGCCAACTTTGTTCTTTATGACAAAAGGGCCATTGATCTACTACAATGGTCAAAAGATACCTATAGTCCTGATGAACATTTCTGGGTGACACTCAACCGGATTCCAGGTAAGTACCAATGTCCATTCCCATTTCTTCTAGTTGATAGATGGAGTTTGCTAACATTCTATTCTCCTGTAGAACTGACTCATTTGAAATTATTTGAAAAATAATTAAGTGCTTAAAAAACTATTCATTTAGTTGCTTTGTGTGACATTTTAGTGCTGGCTTTGCTGTCTTATAAGTATGTGAGATATGGTGATCTAAGAAATGCCGAGCTACGGTCAGTCTGGCCAAACCATTTTGATGTATCACACAGTTGTTGACTTTTTGTTCAGTCTTTTGAATGAGCACTTTTCTTTTTTTTATTATTATTATAAAGATGTGGGGTACAATTCAGGGTTGGGTATACAAACATCGATTATGCAGGTAACCTTGTTGATGAGGTATGCCTTCCCTCCCCTAGTAGTTTCCCCCAACTGCCAGTTCCACTCCCTCTCCCCTTGACAGTTTCCCACTATTGCCAGTCTCTTTCTTATAGTATTATAATTTTTCAAGGTCCGCTTAAGAGTGAGAACATACGATACTCCATGGTTTCTGTGATAGATCATTAAGTATGATCGACTCCAAATCCATCCAAGTTGCTGCGAAGTCCATATGTTTGTCCTTCTTTATGGCTGCATAATATTGAATGAGCACTTTTCATAGTCCTTGATGAGCACAGCTATAACATAATGAGAATGATTTCTTTTAAAATAAGCGTTCAGAACTGATGAGTTAAAATAGGTGATGTTTCTTTCAGAGGGATGTTTTACACTATTCTGTTGATGCAGATCGAAGTTTATGGAGTTGTTATGGGGCACTTTTTTGGGGGGAGGAGATGATGTCTCTATTTTGCCCAGGTAGGTCTTGAACTCCTGGGCTCAAAGAATCCTCTCGACTCAGCCTCCCAAAATGCTGGGATTATAGGTGTGAGCCACCACGCCCAGCAAGGGGATGCTGTTTTAAGAATCTTGGAAGTCTTTTTGGATGTTCACAAAAGGTCCCCACTCTAGGATCTGAACAGGAGCTAGGTCTCAGATCCTTTCAGTTCAACAAACAAAGCCTGATATTTTAGCTAAGAAGAGTGGGTTAACAATGAGTTGAAAATACAGAAAGAGGGTTGAGCTGGTCCAATGAGAATCCTTAATTTTTAAGTTACAGATTCGTAGTAGAATTCGTTTGCAGCCTCCTGCTTTCTATACTGTCAAGTCTTTGGTTGCTTATGAAAACAGGGTCCAAGGTAGAAAATAGCATCAAAAGTCCTTTTTGGGGGTTCAGGACTGGGTTTCTTTTCATAATTGTTTCCCAAGGGTGAGCTGTGACCTAGAGCACCTCTTTCTGGTGATGTCCCAGTATACTTGTGTTCAGTATTATGCCAGCATCATTGTGGGTATCAGTCCTCTATGAAAGTGACCCTGTGCTTGACATTCTTGAAATAACTTCCAGCTCTTATGTGTAGTATCATTATCGTTAGCACGCTTTTGAGTGCTGTTTGAAGCGACCTTCATGTCTGAAAGTAGACTCAAAGCAGTAAGACAGAGTTAGGTCGTCAATAACTCGACATTCCTAAGAACTAAACTTCAGTAGTGGTCACAGACATTTAGGAGCAGAAAGAGGATGGGCAAGGTGGCTGAGGACAGGGACATATACAATCCCATGAATAGTTTATTTTCAGATATGATGAAATGTCTGGTCACCAAGACTTGTAGGAGGGGGAGTGGACCAACATTTATCATACTGTGAATGTTAACCCTTTACTTACAAAGACCTATTTTAAACACATGTACATATTCTATGCTGGCATTTTATAATGTTTTTATTTATTGGTATGGTTTGTGCCAGCTTATTCCTTTTTTTTTTTTTTTTTGAGTTGGAATCTCACTCTATCACCCAAGCTGGAATGTGGCATGATCATGGCTCACTGCAGCCTCGACCTCCTGGGTTCAAGTGATCCTCCTGTCTCAGCCTCCCAAGTTGCTGGGACCACCCAGGACACTGTGCCTGGCTAATCTTTTAGTTTTGCAGAGATGAGGACTTGCTTTGTTGCCCATCTGGCCTCGAACTCCTGGCCTCAAGTGCTCCTCCCAAAGCGCTGGATTACACGCGTGAGCCATTGCGCCCACTCAGCCGTCTTTTCTTTTTATCCAATGCCTCATACTTTCTGTTCCAGCACATACTTGGAACGCTTCCCTAATTTTCATCAATTCTTAATGGTTTTCTCGTACTGTCCTCTCATAAAGAATGACCTTGTTGCCAACCCTGTTAACTCCTGGAATGCTCTTTCGACCGTCTCTATTTAACTCGTCTTCGTCCTGTCGGGCCCACCTTGAGTGTCACTGCTTTGGAAGCCGTCTCTGAGAAGCCCTGTCACAGATAGTTGGTGCTCCAGCTCTGGGTTCTCCTGCACCCAATGCCACTGCTGCCAACATTGAACTGTAATTACCTGTTAACTGGCTGTCTCCTCAACTCAGCCTCCTTGGTATTGGAGCTCCTTAAGGGTGAGAAGTGTGATGTCATCTCTGTATTCCCTATCACTACTTTCACACTATCATTTATCACCATGCACGCGCCTGATCTGAGGATGTGCAGACTGTGGGATGGGTTGGGAGGAGCAGGTATGTGCTGGATAATTATGGGAAGATGGGAGGAACACATCAAAGTGTCCTGTGTCTGTGGTAAAGGATCATTTTTGATAGTAAGGATTAGAGAAGCAGTAAGTAAAGTATTGTTTGAAGATTTCATTCCTCAACAGCCAGGCCAACAAAAGATATCAGTAAATAATGGACAGAGAGAGACCTGGTAGAATTAGCGAGTTCCAGATAAAATGCTAATGGGATAGAGTCCGTCTTTAGAAAATCTGGTTCCCAGGTAGCCAACCTGGGCCCATAATGCAGTCAAATTCTGATGCCAAGAGAAAGCATCGTGTGTGGGCAGTGTGTATAGATGCCTCCACTTAGTTTCTGTCTTACTTGCATCTGGTTTGAGCTTCCCCATACCTGGCACCCTGACCCCTGCTGTTAGTCCCATTCTTGGGCTGCTCACAGTTCATGCTGTAGGTTTCTTCTGACTTAATTTGATCTAGAGAGCTTCTTAGTTGTTGGTTTAGATACAAAGAAGATTATAAGAATATGAAAGAGTAAGAAAAGACAATAGAAAGAAACTTAAAACATCTCTCCAGGTGTAGCTCAGAGCAAATGTAAACACTGAGCTATTTAGAAAGTATGTGTTCTCTACACAAAGGTTACAGGGTCTTAAATCTGGGCATGGCTGGATCTGTCCCAGTCTTTTTAAAAGTATGTATTGTGTTCTCTGTACATCAGCCCAGATTTAGAATTCAGTTTCCAGAACCACAAAGGATGCATTCAGTCATGCTGATTGAACAGATGACTGAGAATTATAAAAATTGATGGACTGGTAGAATCTTCATCTTAATGAATATCACCAGGATGTTCAGATCTACAATAATGCTATTTTTTGTGGTCAGAGGACAATCTGCACTGGCATTTGTTTTGTGGAATGGAGATAAATTCTGATTGAAGGAGAAATTCCATAAAACAGATACCTCCTAGCCACTTCACAGAGTTTTAAAATAATATTTTTATATGGCCAAATAACATTAAATATACATCATAAATGTGAACATGATTTTCAAAATATTGCATTAGTGATGTGGGCCTTGTTTGGCTTGTTTTAAAACTCTTTGGTAAGGGCTCTAGGCTCTTCCTGGGTCAGTAATTTAGGTAGGATCACAGGAGATGATTTATAATCTACAATATATCCTGACTCTTGAGGACTGACACTGATGAGTCTATATCATAAGATGCTGAACTCCTTAGACAGGTTCTAGGGTATTCATATAATTAAACAGTGCTGAAGCTATAGCCATTTGTGAAATTTCCAGCCATTGGCTCTGCTGTAATATTTGAGATCAATTTCTTCACTGGGTAATCTGTACCCAAATATTTTGCCTCCTACCCTAAGAAGGAAGCAATTGGGAAAACTACTCTTAATTAGCTCTTAATTTCTACTCTTTAGAACAACATTATAAAAGACAAGAAAAATTGAATTAAGTTATATAAGAATATTTCATTAATTACAATTATGATTGGTAAACATCCAAAACATTCTCGAAGTGGAACTTAATGTGAATTTAATTCCAGCAGAAAGGACTCAACATAGCTACTACTTTAGAACTGGCAAGATCATTTTTCCCACTCACTTGGTCTCCCATCATTCTTTACCAATTGTATAAGATAAAGTTATTCTTCAAACAGCAGTTGTCTTTTTTTTAAACCAAAACATAGTATTGCATTGTAATGACTTTTTAAAACAATAAAATGCTAATTGTATATCAAAGCTATATATAATTGATAATATGTATATACCAATGTACATAATACAATGATCAGTATAGAAGGGAAGATCCCCCCCAAAAAACAAAATTATTTTTGGGAGAGTGAACTGCTTGTAGTACGAGCTTCCCCTGCTAGCTAAGTGTTCTAGGAATCCATCGGAATCAGTGTACCTGCGTTCGGCTTCAGTTAATCTTTGTTTGGAGTTTTTTTTCGATGTGTTTGCCCATTTCGTGATGCGTCATTCATGAGTGCACCTGCCCACACTGCACTGAGTGTTCAGCAGTTTTTTAAATGCAAAACGGCATGACCTCCATACTCCACCCTCCCTATTCACCCAATCTCTCCCCAGGCAACTTTTGTTTGTTTGTTTGTTTCCCTGGATAAAAAAAGTCCTCAAACATTTTGCCAATGTGAAAGAGGTGAAACAAAAAACAGCAGAATCACTAAAAGGCATCAAAACTGATGAGTTCAAAAACTGTTTTGAGGCCGGGGGCGTGGTGGCTCAAGCCTGAAGTCCCAGCAATTTGGTAGGCCGAGGCAAGAGGATTGCCTGAGCTCAGGGGTTCGAGACCAGTCTGGGCAACTTGGTGAGACTTCATCTCTACAATAAATCAAAAAATAAGCCAGGTGTGGTAGCATGTGCCGGTAGTTCCAGCTACTTGAAAGGCTGAG